TTTTGTCAAAAATTTGAAACGGCAGCAAAAACGTAATCAATACGCCTGAAAGAACGTATGCGTCAGACGGTGCACGTGAGAGAGAGACGGCTTGCAAGCGCGTCACGTGCACGGTCCAGTAAGGTGGAGACGCCTGAATGAAACGGTTGAGTAAATGATACGTGACAGCTCACACACGTGAAAAAATTCACTGGAATTCTTGTTTGCTAAAGAAAACATGTCGGCCCGAAAATGATCTCGGCTGAGGAATTCTTGAGCCGATGTACAGGAGGAAGTACTGATATAGGTTCCATCACCTCAGAATGTCGAGGTAATAGAACCTAGGGGGCAGTTGTGGGGATATATTTCTGAGTACCAACACGTGGCAAAGCGATGCCGATGTGTCAGCCAAGGTGCCACGTGTCCTGATCATTATGCTGAGGTTATCTCGGCGTTGCCGAGGTTATCTCCGAAGATATCGGAATCCGAGATAAACGGATAAGGGACAAGAGACTAGAATGAAGAGGAGACTTAGTCAAAATGAGGATAAATCTCTTAGGGAGTTTATCTTTATCTCTTGAGGAGTCCAAAGTAAGTACTAAATTGGAGTCCATAGAAGTCAGGCTTCTAGTGGGACTAGGATTAAGAAAACTATAAAAGAGAGGCACCCCCGTGGGTCTAAGGTACGCAATTTTATGCTTTGAGCAGTAAGTTTAGCACTTGATTATCTTTGAGAGATATACTGACTCGATCGTCGGAGTGCCCCCGGGTGGAAGAACCACCGCCGGAGCCTTCTCTTTCTGTTACAAGTTAACTGAAGCCATCTATTCTGCCGGTGCTCTCTTTCTGTTACAGGTTAATTATATTTCTTTTATCACATTTTGTTTATCACTTGATGAGGCATACTCATAATGATGATATAATATTAATGAGATTCATGAGACCCATTGAAAACTTTTGAAATTTGAACCCACAAAAAAATGCAGTGACTTTTAGTTTAATAGATATTTGAGTTGGTAGAAAAAATCAATTAACTTATGATTTATCTTTTATTTATTTGTTTAAGTTGAATATATATGACTTTGCTTTTGATCATGTACAAAATATTTTTTATCTATTATTTTAGTATCATATCTTAGTTATTTCTCATTCTTGAATTGAAAGACAATACATAACAATTGATATACAAAAGAAAAAAATTATTCATACCTTGGCTCCTCTGGAGTAAAAATTCTGGTTCCGTCCCTATTGACAAGGGCGACAACCGTGACTGACAAAGGTAATGCAGGTCATCCAAGCTATCATCTGGCTTACATAATTCAAATAATTCAGACAAACTCAAATTCAATATATTAATCATTTTTCTAATTCAATACAATTACTTGCCCCATTTTGTTGAGAAATACGAGCAACTTAGTACCCATCCATTGGGCAGCAACTTCTTTTCTTCTTTTAATTTTCGCAAATGTCCTTAATAATGTAATACAATTACTTATGCCACTTTTGCTGAGAAATACTGAATTCGGTAGCCACTTCTTTTCTTTCAAATATGCTCCCATTCCCCAATTTCCTTTTCAATTTAAAAGCAGGAAACGGTTACGAAAAATCTAAAAACTTTCGAGGTATTGGTTTGTGATTATATTTCAATTTTAGTAAATATCAATCTCAATTAAACAATCAACAATAAATCGGCACAATGATTTAACGTGAAAAAAATCACAATTAGAACGCCTCCAATTATGATAAAAAATCACGAGTCAAAACTACAAAACAATCCACTAAGAACACAAGAAGGAATTATACACGAGTACTCACAATTACTTAGCGAATTCACGCCCGAATTGAACCAAACCCAATGTGTCTCTTCTACCACCCACTTTACCTCGGAATTGTTTTGCCTAACATTGAATCCACAACGCCGATATCGAGTCCACGACAATGAATTACTCCGAAATCTACCAAAACTTAAGACCCAAGTTCTTCAGAATCCACTGATGAACACCTCTATCTTTTTGTGAATAAATGAACAAAATCAACCCTTGATGTTTATCAATATATTGTTCGTTGATTAGTCGATCACCTTCTATACATCAAGAAAACTAATACAAACCACCATCTAACATAAAACACATTGTATTTTACTCATATTTGAGAATCTGGATGGGTTAAACCCTAAAAACAGTAAACGACACACTTTATACTAAATAGAGTCGCGAAAACCGCTTGAGCGCATACTTTACCTCTCGAGCAGTGTGAGTAAAAGTCGGTGCAAACATATAGGTCAACTGCTCAAGCGGTGAAACATATTTTCTAGTTCAGTTTGCAGACAGAGATATTTGATGATCTATTTCACCACTCGAGTGCACAAAAGACTACTCGAGTGGTCAAACCACTTTGACTTTCTTCTTCGCTTTGGGGGCGCTACCCCTCGACCCTGCTTGGGCGCTGCTTTGGACCCTCCAAAGGGCGCTATCTGATCCCCGTACGTTGTCAGCAAAGTGGCAAACAATAAATGCTCAAGATATGAAATGTCAACACAAACTCCTTTACATAGACACAATTCAGGCTGAATTCACATCTAAACACTCACAATCTCACTAAAATAAAAGTGCGAATAAAATTACAATTAAAAAGAATTTTATCAAACAAGACTACTAATTACAAAAACTTAACAGGTTCTAACAACAATATATAAATATTCATCCATTCGCCAACATTTTTTCAAAGCAGAAAACGTTTCTAACAGCAACAACACCCTTTGGAAAAAACAAACAAAAAAAAAATCCTGAAAGTACATGTGTGATTTTGTACCACGTAATAATTCTTGTTGGTTGAACTAAATTGCAATATGACTCCTACACTTTAATTTTCTTTTTAATTTATTATCGGAGTGAGATAGAATAAAATTAAATAACACTACAATATATAAGAGTTTTAGAGACTAAATTTTTTAGTCTCTAAAAGCGAAAATTGTAGTTGCAAAAGACATTTAGGGACCAATTTCTATCGTCGTGAGGATAGTCGCTAAAATGTTGTCTCAAAAAGTCAAAAACAAGGCTTTTAGTAACAAAATTTTGAAAATGTCACTAATAAATAGACTTTTAGAGACAAAATAATTTGGTCGCAAAATGACTTATTTTTAAAGATAAAAAATTTGGTCCCAAAATGATAATAATTCATCACTAATGTCTAACTTTCGCTGCTAAAAATATAATGACGACACTTTTCGCAACAAAAATATTTGGAGGCACTGCTGTGTAGCTCAAACTTGAGCTTGACCCGAATGGCTCAAAATTCATCTTGTCGGTCGTCCGGTGAGAAAGTTGATAGCTGCGGTCGACAAGGTGACAACCGCAGTAGACAAGTGTTTCACCCGGTCGTCCAATAAACATCCATTTGGGCCATTCGAGCCCCTCCTTTTCAAGTTAAAAGGTATTTTTCAATATTTGGTCCGTAAAAAATAATTTTATCCCTAAATTTTGGTCTCTAAAATTTTAATTTTTTTGTAGTGAATGTTCATTTCTTTAAATTTTTTAATTAATAGAATAGTTATTCCTTTACAATAATAAATGATAATTTCATTTACTAACGGAAGGAAATTGAATGAGATTAAATGATCATTCCTTAAGTTTCTCTATGGAATGATCATTTCTTATTATGGTGAATGATAATTTTTTTTTGCAAAGTACTTTTTATAATCTTTTAAGGCCACCAAACATAGGAATGACCAAAATGACAAGTCACCATTGAAATGATAACAATCAACATATGACTTTTTTTATACTGTTCCACGCTAAAAATGGCTGTGGCAAAACCATTTTAGCTTTTATCATTTGAGTTGCTCTGATTGTATTTGAAGGTTTGCCTTTTATTTTGGTTTTAATTTGGTGAAAATAATTAGTGTATTGGCCTTTGCCTGCTTACACAAAAGTGTGTTTTTGCTCTAAGTTTCTTTTTTCATTATTATAAGTTTTAAAAAACAATCTCAGATCCAACAGATAACTCATGGAAAGATAAAATTCCTTCAACTGAATGATTTTTATATAAAGAACTTCGCTTTTGAATGTAAATGCTGCAATGGTGTTTGCATGCACATTATGTAGATAAATTACTCTGCATGCCTGTCTGTTTGTTACAATTAGTAACCATTAATTGATATGTGTTATTATAAATCTATTTGAAAACAAAGTTATCCTTTCTTGAAAAGGTTTAGGAAGCAATAGGGAGGAATCATTATTTCTATTATAATGAGGACCCTCCAAAGTAGGATCACATCATACAAAATCCTAAATTTTAAATGCCTATAACTACGTACAAGTTACAATTATCAAGTAAATCAAGGTGTAGAGGAAAAATGCTAGAGAGCCCAAGGCTCCGTTTGGTTTTACATAATTTTATATTATTTAATATATAAATAATAAATGTTAAACGAGTCAGCTAATAAGCCAAACTTTAGTATGTTTGGGCTTATTTATAAAGATTTTAACAAGTTTGAACTCGATCTGAACGCAAAAAAATAAAAAATAAAAAAATAAAATTAACGAACCGAGTTCGAATGAGCCCTTATCGAGTCGAGTTCGAGTCTGTTCACGAACGACGCTATTCATTTGCAACCCTAATTAGTACAAATAGTATAATTTTCACATCATACACACCATTTTGAGAGTGTGTACCATAACATTATCTTGATTTTTTTTTTTTTTAGATGTGACATTGTCATGTATTTCTTACATGTCAATACACATAAAAATAAATAAATAAATAAAATAAAATAAAAAAACATTGTTATTTAGTTCCAAAAATTAGACCTAGTGACGTGTCAAAAAGATAATTGGTTGATATCAACTAATTATCTTTTTAACATATCACTGGATTTAAAAAATAATATAAAAAGTAGATTTGTATATTATTTTCTTAAAAAAATAAAGTAATTAAATGAAATTGATGATAAATAACATTCCTTATCTGGAAAAAAGTTTAATCTCTCTCTCTCTCGCTATAAATTAGACATGTAAAGGTATCATGCTTAGAACTCATAAACATAGGAGAGCAAATCCACCCTCTCTCTCTCTCTCTCTCTCTCTCTCTCCATGGTGAGAACTCATAAACATCGCTAAGAAATCCTTCTGATCTTTCTCCTCTCTCTCTTCTCTCTCTTTTGAATTGTGAGCTGTGATAACAGAGATGGCTGAGATTGCAGGAGCTAATGGTAACCATGGAATGTCTTTGAATATAAAAGATGATGATATGAATCACGAACTCCCAACCTCTTTCCCCAAAACCAATGAAGACTCCAGCTGCTGCAGTTTTATCACTATTCCTTTCCTGCAAAAGGTGATCCTCTCTCTCTCTCTGTTCCTCTTTCTCGTTTAACTAATCCCCTGTTTCTGTTTGGTTTCTAAGAAAAACCAATGAAAAGAAAATGAACATTAGAAGTCATTAAGTTCATTAGAAAGTAAATTTTTCAGTCTCCAACCTTCCAAATCTCTAATTATCCAAAAAGTTTATGAAAAGACTGAAAGGGGACACTTTTTTAGAAAATAGCTTCCAGATGGAAAGGAACAGTTCGAGCTCTCAAATTGTGCAATCACCACCACAAATTTTAGATTTTGTCTAGTCAATAACCCATTAAATATTAGGTGGTTTTTATTTTTGCTTGATTCTAATATTTGATTTCTAAGTAGATGAATAAAGTCGAGCTATTAATTTATAAAAAAATGTCGACAACGCAAGCATTCATTGCTTGAACTTGACCTCCAGTTTGAATCCATGAATAGAAGGCAAGTTCAACTCTTTGTTTATTGGAATGGGTTCCCTCTCTACCACTTTGTGAATTGGATCGTATTGTTAGATTTGTGGGGTTTATCACGGATCACGTTTCGATAATCTGAATCGTTCAATGTGTAGAGTTTGTTGAGTATTTCATCCTTGTAAAAAATCACATTGATCGAATATCTATAACCCATTGATTGGAAGATATTTTTGTTAATAACTTATTTTTAAAATCGTATTTACTGTTGAAAAATGTGTTCCGATCAATGGCTATTGATATCCGATCAATGTGATTTTTTATAGAGATAAAATATTTAACAAGTATTACACATTAAAAGGTTTGGATTATCAAAACAAGATCAATAATAAATCTCACGAATCTAACAGTACGATCTAATCTAGGGAAGGACTTCCCTTTTTTATTATTAGTTCATAAGTTTTGACGAAAGTAACTATTAGCACAGAAAATAATTTGTTTTAAAGGCCTCCCTTTTTTATTTTATTATTAGTTCATAAGTTTTGACGAAAGTAACTATTGGCACAGAAAAGGAGCCAGATCCCCATTAGTTTGAGCCCGTCAGGTTTGTCACGAGTGTCGTTTTTGATAATTTAAATAATTTATTTTGTTAAATATTTTATGTATTTTATTCAAAAAAAATAGTCTATTCAATAATTATAATTTGTTTAATTTATTATGATTTTTACTAAAAAATGGAAGACAATTGTATTTTAAAAAAAAAACTACATATTGTTTTGGTGATAAACACAATAAATTGAATAAATTACAATTATTGAATTGACCAAATATTTTTGTGAATGAAATACACAAAATGCCCGACAAAATTAACGGTTCGAATAATTAAAACGTGGCCCCAAAATCCCAAACTGTGGCCACTAGTCTAGATTTTGGATTTGAGTGGATCCTTCTCCCTTTAAAAAAATGTATAAAAAAATTTGGAAAAATTACAAAAAAAAAAATTCTTCAAGATTTGAGTCTTATAAAAAAAATAATTTTTTTAATTTTTAATTTTGTCAATTTAAATCCTTTTTTTTTTTTTCAGTATATACCATCTACCTATTTTTGTTGGGTAAAATTGAAACCAAAAAAAAAAAGTCATTAAACTCAATAGAAAAAAGCGTACATCTACATTAAATATAATGACTAGGATACCATTTTTTGCCATTTTTACTAAACGAAAATAAATAAGTGGTTTACGTGTAAACAAATCAAAATATTAGAGTTTAAGGGGTTGTTTGGAATGACCTAAATAAATATATTTTTTGTCTTTTTATAAAAAGATGTGCAGAAAAGTAAAGAGATGATGTGATGAAAAAAAGATAAAAAGATAAAAAATATGTACTTAGGATAGCCAAACTTGGCCTAAATTGATAAAATTAAAAATTAAAAATTTATTATGTTACAAAACTTTGAAGTTTTTATTTATAATTTCTCTAAAAAAATTTATATAAAGTTTAGATTCATTCTGAGTACGGTGGTGTTTGTTGAATTTACAGTTGGTCGCGGAAGTGTTAGGGACATACTTCTTAATATTTGCGGGTTGTGCGGCGGTGGTGGTGAATTTAGACAAAGACAAGGCGGTGACGTTCCCCGGAATATGTATAGTGTGGGGGCTGGCAGTGATGGTGCTGGTTTATTCAGTTGGGCACATCTCTGGTGCCCATTTTAACCCTGCAGTCACCATTGCTTTTGCTACTTGCAAGAGGTTCCCCTGGAAACAGGTAAACCTACCACTTCCTATTTCCTTGCAAACTGGTAAACTAACACTAACCAACTCTCCATTGTGTTTGAGTGCACTGTTTTGTATTGAGCTAACAACTAGTCAATTCTCCAAAGTCAGACCTATTAAATAAACAATAAGGGTAAATTATCAGTGAGTTTACGTCAAATTTGACGAACATATACTACATTTAGAAAAATATATATTTTAATAAAAAAAAAAGATAGTAGCAATACATAAACTTTTGTTTGCTTAAATTTCTGTTGAATAAAAAAAAGATAAATTACACTTACCTTCCTTGAGGTTTACCTTAATTACATATATCTTCCCTGTAATTTCAAAAATTACACAAACCTTCCTTGTTTTTAAAAATAATAGCCAAATTCCCCCTTTTGTCAGAAGAACATTACAAAAGTAACCAAAAAGAGAACATTAGCAACGATGAATACAGAAATGCCCAAAATACTCTTTTCACCCCTTATAAAACAATACATACCCTTGTAACTATTTCCCTCCTATTTTTCAGTATTTGTAAACTTTTCATCCAAACAACATGACAATGATGAATATTATTTTACACCAAGTTAATTTTTTTTATATATGTATATGTTTTGAATTGCCTTGTAGCAGCATTGTTAGTTATTTAAAAATTAATTTTGCACCCAAAAAAGAAACAAATAATGTGAAAACGATGAGCATTTTTTTTTTAATTTTAATTTTTTACAGAAAATTAATTTTTCTTTTTCAATTTTTTTTTTTTTCAAATTGATTATGAAAATTAAACCAATAAAGTGTTATGATTCACTTTCCCCACATAGTGTGTATAAATGCTTTGAATTGCTTTGTACTGGAAAGGTTTGTTATGATAGTATAATACTTTGACATTTAAATAAAAAATAAAAACCAAAAAGAGAAATAAAAATAAGGATTCTAATAGGAAACAAAAAGAGAAATAAAAATAAAAAATCTAATATGTTTGGTTTCAATTTTCTAGATTCAATTTTCTGAAAATTTAATTTTTTATTTTTAATATTTTCTGTTTTTAATGAATATTTTTAAAATTTTAAGCAATTTTTTTTTAAATGCACCTTACTTAGATGTATTTAAAAAGTAAAATATTTTAAAAAATCAATAAATAATACGAAAATATATTGGATTTTTGTATTTTTTTTTTTTGTATTTTGGTATTTCATGAATTTTTTAAAGATTTTTTTTTCACAAATATTTTTTTAAGTGTATTAATATTAAGTGTATCTAAAAATTACTTAAAATATTAAAAAACAATAAGTGAAAATAAAAAAAATACAAAAAACAAAAAATTTGAATTTTCTAAAAACTGAATCCTGAAAAGTGAAACCAAATAAATTAGGATTTAAAAGTTTAGTTACGCTGACTATATTCCTAAATCCTGTGAGATTTTTTTCTTTTTCTTTTTTCACCAGCCTTGCACGGTGGGACATAAAAGTTTAGTTATGCTAACTTTAAATTTAGGGAAAATTTTATTTCAGGAATGGTTTTGAAAAATAATTATAAAAAATGGTAAATTTGTTAATATTAATAATTAAAAACATAAACTTTTTTATGAAGGTGTAATAATTCCTTAAATTTAAATGTAAACTTACTTGGAGATAGAAATTGGCAATAGTCTTGGATAGTAGGTCACTAATTCATCTTTCTGTTGGATTTGGCGGGTTAGATGAGACAATGTTGAAGTAGTTGGGTTAATAGAGAGAGAAAGATGGAATGGGGGTATTTTAGTCATTTAATGTTACTTTTGACACCATTCGGAACATAGTTAACAGAAGGGATAACATGGCTATAATTTTCAAAAGTAAGGGAGGTTTGTGTGAGGTATCTATAATTAAGGTAAACTTCAGGGGAGGTAAGTGTAATTTATCTATAAAAAAAAAAAATTAAATGATAAAATTATTATTTTTATTCCTATCACAAACAAATTATTACTGAAAATATGATTTAGTTTTATGTACATCAAAACTTAAAGGGAGCCTACTATAATTATGTTAAACTTATGAGAGTTGTATTTTCATCAAATTTCAGTTGAGATCAGTGTAATTTAGTTGCAAATTAATATATTGATAACACATCAAATAGCATAAAAAAAGATTTACTTAAATTTGGTCATAGTAAGTGTTATTGGTTATAAAATATAAAACGAAAAATTCACTGGGGTCAATTACTATGTTTTACAAATTCTATAATTTTTTTTCTTTTTATTTTAGCTTTTATAAATATCTATCATTTATTTTCAATAATTTGACAAAAGCAATTTAAATTTCTAAATTGCCAAATAAATGAGAACTTTAGTTTATTCATACTAATGTTTTAGTAATAAAAAATTGTAAATGCATAAATTCTATGGTGGTTGTCGATTGAGTTTTTCATATTTTGATTAGGAAATATGAACTATATTTGGTGAGTGGTTGAGTAAGCTGACGAAAATTGGTTTTTTGGGTTGGACAAATTTGTCTTCTTCTGAATGGGTTGCTTGTTGTGTGTTCAGGCATAATAAGGATTGTTGTCCCTTTCAGTAGGGTCCATCATTAGTTTATACTTTTTATTCGAACTATCCATTTTATAAGATTTATTCAAAAGATTATTTATAAAAATTTAAGTTAATTAATATCAATAATCATATGAACGAATTATATTTATCTTATATCTTCTTTTTTTTTAAATGCACCTTACTTAGATGTATTTAAAAAGTAAAATATTTATAAAAAAATATTTTAAAAAATCAATAAATAATACGAAAATATATTGGATTTTTGTATTTTTTTTTTTTTGTATTTTGGTATTTCATGAATTTTTTAAAGATTTTTTTTTCACAAATATCTTTTTAAGTGTATTAATGTTAAGTGTATCTAAAAATTACTTAAAATATTAAAAAACAATAAGTGAAAATAAAAAAAATACAAAAAACAAAAAATTTGAATTTTCTAAAAACTGAATCCTGAAAAGTGAAACCAAATAAATTAGGATTTAAAAGTTTAGTTACGCTCACTATATTCCTAAATCTTGTGAGATTTTTTTCTTTTTCTTTTTTGCACTAGCCTTGCACGGTGGGACATAAAAGTTTAGTTATGCTAACTTTAAATTTAGGGAAAATTTTATTTCAGGAATGGTTTTCAAAAATAATTACAAAAAATGGTAAATTTGTTAATATTAATAATTAAAAACATAAACTTTTTTATGAATGTGTAATAATTCCTTAAATTTAAATGTAAACTCACTTGGAGATAGAAATTGGCAATAGTCTTGGAGAGTAGGTCACTAATTCATCTTTCTGTTGGATTTGGCGGGTTAGATGAGACAATGTTGAAGTAGTTGGGTTAATAGAGAGAGAAAGATGAAATGGGGGTATTTTAGTCATTTAATGTTACTTTTGACACCATTTGGAACAAAGTTAACAGAAGGGATAACATGGCTATAATTTTCAAAAGTAAGGGAGGTTTGTGTGAGGTATCTATAATTAAGGTAAACTTCAGGGGAGGTAAGTGTAAGTTATCCAAAAAAAAATTTAAAAAATGATAAAATTATTATTTTTATTCCTATCACAAACAAATTATTACTGAAAATATGATTTAGTGTTATGTACATCAAAACTTAAAGGGAGCCTACTATAATTATGTTAAACTTATGAGAGTTGTATTTTCATCAAATTTCAGTTGAGATCAGTGTAATTTAGTTGCAAATTAATATATTGATAACACATCAAATAGCATAAAAAAAAGATTTACTTAAATTTGGTCATAGTAAGTGTTATTGGTTATAAAATATAAAACGAAAAATTCACTGGGGTCAATTACTATGTTTTACAAATTCTATAATTTTTTTTCTTTTTATTTTAGCTTTTATAAATATCTATCATTTATTTTCAATAATTTGACAAAAGCAATTTAAATTTCTAAATTGCCAAATAAATGAGAACTTTAGTTTATTCATACTAATGTTTTAGTAATAAAAAATTGTAAATGCATAAATTCTATGGTGGTTGTCGATTGAGTTTTTCATATTTTGATTAGGAAATATGAACTATATTTGGTGAGTGGTTGAGTAAGCTGACGAAAATTGGTTTTTTGGGTTGGACAAATTTATCTTCTTCTGAATGGGTTGCTTGTTGTGTGTTCAGGCATAATAAGGATTGTTGTCCCTTTCAGTAGGGTCCATCATTAGTTTATACTTTTTATTCGAACTATCCATTTTATAAGATTTATTCAAAAGATTATTTATAAAAATTTAAGTTAATTAATATCAATAATCATATGAACGAATTATATTTATCTTATATCTTCTCCAAAATCATTATTGTGAAAAGACAAAATAAATGTTATTTGTGAAAACCTATGTCACCTTTGTCGTGATTAGGAAAATAATAAAAATAAAAAAACTAAACAGAGGCATAATGATTTTAAGGTTGAAAACACTGTTGCAATTACAACATTTTACATGTGAAGCACTCTCAAACAAGTACCAATTTATTAAATTTATGTTCTATTAAAAATTACTAAAATAATCTGTTCCTAAATGAAGTGACTCTATTTCAATTTGATGGTATTATAGGTACCAGCTTATATAATAGCTCAAGTCCTGGGATCAACTCTAGCAAGTGGAACCCTTAGATTACTTTTCAACGGTGACCAAGATCAGTTTGCCGGAACCATTCCCACTGGTTCTGACGCACAGTCTTTCGTGTTAGAATTCATAATCACATTCTACCTCATGTTTGTCATCTCTGGCGTTGCAACCGATAACCGAGCTGTTTGTTCTACTCCTTCACTTTGTAATTGATTCAAATCCTTTTTTTATTCATCATCAACCCAATAATTTTCTTTGCTTTTTTATTTTTTTGTAAATTCAGATTGGAGAACTTGCTGGGCTTGCCGTTGGAGCTACTGTCTTGCTAAATGTGATGTTTGCAGGGTAACACATTATATACCTGCTATTATTTATTTATTATTATTATTTTTTTTTATGTGCTTGAATTCATGCCATTTTAGGATTTGGGAAATGAGGGGGAATGGTAATATGGTTACGACTCATATGCTTTTTTTCATTTATTTTTATTTTTTAAAGAACAACTTTTTTAAGTTTGAGTAGAGGTGCAGTTCAAATTTTGTGAGAGATTTTAGGTTCTATAATGGGCCCATTGTTGTGGAGTCAACTCCTTTTGCAGTACCAAAAAAGAAGAAGAAGAAGAAAAAGAAAAAGAAGAAGAAAGCAAAAAGCAAATATATAAACTTTAAATTTACCATGAAATTTACTCAAAAAGTGAGTGTATGGTATAACATCAATGCTAGGTATCATGAAAAACATTTTATGAAAATAATCATGAAAGTTTTGTGACCATTGGATTACACTTAGAATAAAGCACCATGCACTAATCAAGGTAATCCAAGGATCAGAAAATTTTCATGATCATTTTCATGAAAAAATTTTCATGATCCCTAACTTTTCCCAGGGTATAAATTAAAATTTAATGTGTTGTGAGTCCTATCAACAATGAATTTGATCAACACAATTCAAATTCCGGATAAGTTTTTGAGTATTTTTATTTGGGCATAGAATATTCGAATCGAAAAATTTTACCATGATGTCTAGGAAAAAGCTTGGGACCCCCAATTGGGGACCCCTATGACACTCAAATGTGTGTGATTAGTCCATGTGTGTTTTTGTTTTTTTTTTTTTTTTTTCCTCTCTCTCACATAGGATGATGTGAGAGTTGTGGAGTGGAGTTTTTGTAAGGGTCTCAATCATTGCTTATCATGTGTACCTCAAAAATTAGTTTATGATGTAGATTGATGCTTGATGTGTTGTATGCCATACCTACCATGAATCTACTCACGCAACTCAAATTTGAATAATTTTTTGAGTATTCTTTCTCGTCACATAATATTGCTATTACAAAAAATTGGATTGTACCTTCCTTTAACTGAAAAAAAAAACACTTTTTGTATACCATGGACTTTGAATAGGTTCGTATACCATAGGATTATTGTATATTATGTTTTATTAGAGTGTGATTAACATTAAATTAGATTTGAAGACTTATTTTTGACCGTTGAACGAAACAAGTAATATAATTTGGAGGGATAACTATACTAGTTATCTTCGAGAATAGGGATTAATAATCCAGCCGAACAACTATTTCCCTATTTGGCCAACAACATCAAAATGGAATAGGGGATAAAGTTGAACACAGAGTCGACATGGTTTTTAGTCCAGACTCCAATCCTCCCCTAATCCTGGCAAACAAACACTGCCTGAGAGTACACATTTTGAGCACTGAACACTTAGAAGCGTTGGTTTTTATTCGTTGCAGGCAAATATCAGGAGCTTCAATGAATCCAGCAAGAAGTTTGGGGCCAGCAATTGTGTCAAACAAGTACAAGGGTATATGGATATACATACTTGCACCAACATCTGGGGCTATAGCAGGTGCTTGGGTGTACAATCTCATCAGGTTCACCGACAAGCCCTTACGTGAACTTACCAAGAGTGGCTCTTTCCTCAAGAGCGTAGGACGCAGTGGTTCCAATTGACAAGCTCGTTTCGTTACATTTGTATTCTTTTTTTTTCTTTTTTTTTTTATTTATTTATTTACATTAATATTGAAAGTTGTAATGTGTCAAATAGCACACACAGTTAGTACTTGTTTCCATTAATGAATTTGTGGCATTCTGAAGAATTTAGGAGCTTTTGTAGAGGCCCCAATCATATGCAAATTCATAAGTGGAAATATATCATTCAATTGCTATGTACCATGGACAATTGTTTTATTGTTAACAATATTGTTTAGCCACTTAATTCTCTCTTATATGTCACTTGACTTCAACTATAAAATCATACGTTTGTATCTCATCAGCTTGAGTCGCGGAATTAAGATTTCATTGAGTGGTGGCCAAGTTGGTGTGCCCTTTCATGTTCCTTCACTCCATTCCCATTAATGAGTTGGGCATGGGGTAGGTCAGGGACAAACACAGGATTCTAACCTCAAGGGGGGCAGTATAAATGTATGTGTGACAAAAAAATTTCACTATTGCACAATTTAGTGTTTGAGAATTTCTAGTGCTGAAAATACGCATTTTGTTGCTGTTGTAGAAACAAAGCAAGTTAACAACAAATTGAATCAATCTATGAACAAAAGTATAAATTGTCGACATTCTTGTTTCAACAAACACTTGCACAACTCAAAAATTGTTAACGACTTTTAAAACTTAGGATGTTTATGGATATCAGTCTCCTAGTTTTGTAACTAACACTTCAAATGCAAATTTTCTTGCTTTGTGAAGTCATTGGGATTAAATTTAATTGAAAGTGTACAAATATCTCCAATTTTGAAAGACTTGTAATCATTCCTATGACCTAAAGTAGAACTAAGAACTTTATCAAAAGATCAAGAGATGATGTTACCAGTTTTCCAAGTGCAATAGATCAAATCCAAAGATCCAGAGACCGGTTCAATTAACATGGGTACGAATATTATCATGTTTTACCAATTTTTGTTCAAAAGCAATCTAAATACTATTGGTGAGTCTAATGAAAATTGAAAATTAGTTATGAATATTATCACGTTTTCCAATTTAAGTCTAAAAGCAATCCAAATACTATTACGTGAGTTAACGATGTTCAGAAATTAATTATGAGTATTATCATGTTTTCCAATTTTAAGTCCACAAGCAGCCCAAATGCTATTTTGGTTAATGAGTAAACTACTTAAGCTTATCCTCCACAGATTTCGGAATGAACTAGTTAATGTCGGTTTAATTGGATTAGGACAAGGAGTAAATCTTGGGTGACTTCGCAATCAACTACCTAATGTCAACTTAACTAGAGTAGGACGAGAGACAAATTTCAGGTGTGTGCATCAACTCCACAGCGCATACACCGTTTAAGTGAGAGAGTGTAGCTGCTAGGATTCGACCTCATACCTAAGTCCTGGATATAATCCATCCAGCACTTAGAGGGCCATCCTAAGACCACTGTACCAAATTCTTAGAAATTGACTCTAAAAAGTGTAAAACCTAAGATCTTAGGATTTATGCCCCAGAATCTTACTAAACTGCCACAACCCCATGAGTTCAGCCCAAATATTATTGTTAATTGTTAAAGCTTAAAACCATTTTGTAATTTTAAAAGAAAGTAAAAGTTTGACCGGGCATAAAGGTTGCCTACATATTCATTACAAAAAATACTTGAGACCACTAACTAGTGGTGACACTAATGTTGTGGCAGTAGGCCCTATCTATTGTCACAGTGTTGCTGTGCTTTTTTTTTTTTTGTTGTGATTTTTCACCTCATTAGTAGTGATTAGTGATACTAAATTAGTGGTACCAATCACTACCGTATTCATTAATGGAATCAGGTTAAATTCAGAAAAATGGTTCAGTTAGCCTAGGCGTGCGTGCCAAAAATGAATGTATTGTTTTAGAGATAAAGCCTAGAAAACTAATTGGCTCCCCTGTCTCCAATCAAACTAGAGAGGTATTATTGGGTTTATGGATTTATTTTTGAGATCCATTACGATAACTGAGTTATTTATATTTTGGGATTTGTTAAATATATTATTTTTGACAAAAAATTAAGTTAATTGGATAATAAAAATCATGTATTCAGATCAATTTTGTATGAAAAAATGAATGGTAAGAAAATAAACTGTTCATACAAATTAATCCAAACACACAATTTTCATTATTCAACCGATTTGATTTTCTGCGAAGATGACATACTTGACGAATTCTAAAATGTGAATGATTCGAATTATCAAAGTGAAACCTAAAAATTGACCCATTAAATCGAACTGGATTGTCTAGTTTGATGAAGGACTAGAGGCAATCCAGTTCCAAAACTCGAAAAGTAAAAAGTTCACTACTTTGAAAAAAAAAAAAGAAAAAAAGAAAAAAAGAAAAGATAATTATTAAAAAGTCCAATCTAATAATTATCTAAGGCATTAGATTGTTAATAAGAGATCTATTATTTGTGAAATAGTTTGCTCAAAAGTCTTTTTTATTATTTTGTAGGATATTTTATTTCTAATTTTATCTTTTAATCTATCTGTTTAAATTTTGTTGAATTTTTTTTATCTGTTCAATTGTTTTGAACTTATCTGTTGATTTTTTGTTTTTTGTTTTTTTTTTAAAAAAAAATCTATCTATTATTTATATTATTTTTTTTGAATCTATCTACTACTACCTAAAAAAGCTGAAGAATTATGAGTGTTCTGTACATTTTCATTTTTCACAAATGTCCTTAGTAAAATAAGAAAATTACATATTTACTTGTTTCATACTTCCAAGAAGGAAAATTATACAATAGTCCTAAAGTAACAATTGGCCATACTCCTTTACAAATCACCATTCATTACATCCTTTATATTCTTCAATCACCATTCATCATGTCCCTTCCAACAGTTTCAAAAGATTGTTGGATTGGAGGGTCTCAAGTTTCAACCCGTGGGTAACAACGTTACCGAATGCATTTATTGAGGGTGCATTTTTGCTGTAGTTGTGAAAGTTACGGTCGGCTACGGTTGCAATGCTGTCTCCATTCAGCCTATGCCACGTTTCTGTGTTGCCACGTAAATTTGATGGAAAGAAAATATTTGTCTCCAATTAAGAAAATCTTTGGTGACTCGAATTTTTGTGATTCAAATTGCTTGAATATGTCAAAACGACGTCGTTTTATAAATGACGTCGTTTTGAATATTTCGAGCCATTCGAACCATAATTTTTCGGACTACCAATCATTGTTGCTCCAATTATCAACTTGACTCTTGACATCTCTCAAACACTGCTTCTCCATGTTTCTCAATCATTATTTCTCTCTCACTCACCCTCTAACTAGTGATAAGATTTATTTTTCAAAGGCCTCTGTAAACTGAAAGCGAAGCATTTCCTCCTACATCATCTGTTTTATCGGTTCTTCCCTTAAATCCTCATTCTATGTCAAGTTGAATTCAAACGTATCTATGTTTTAAGAAATCAGTTTGAAAATCCATTAATTAATTGATTCTATAAGCCAGATATTACCTTATTTCTCTTCTAACAAATATACATATCTAAATAAAACCCACATCAAGTTTCAACAACATGCATAAAATTTTCACATTTAATCAATTATAGTGACCCGGGATAAAACCCGATTGTGACACCCCAAAAGATTATTATTATTATTTTTTTTTGGGAACATCATAAGAAATTAAATAACAAAATAACTTATTAAATTGAAAATTTAACATCTTAATTGAACAAAACCAAAAATTTAACACTAAATTTAAAAAAAATAAAAATTAAATTAAAAGTCCAAATACAACATTAAGCAACATTATAACATCCTTAATTATTAATACATAAAATAATAAAATTTTATTTTGCTAAAGTCATGGCTTCAAAATAGCCAAGGCTCTTTATTAGCAGCGGCTCCAATTTCAGCTTCCACTTCTTCCTCGTCAAAATCTAGCCTAAAACGCCAGGATAACAAAACATATGCAATGAGTTTTGTAATACAGTAAAAAAACATAACAAATCTACCATTATTTTTAAGAGAAAATAATCAGATTAATAATCATGACAATTAAGAGAAAATAACGAAATTAATAGAATAACAATATAATAACCATTAAAATAATTTTAACAATTTTAATAGTTTAGGCGACACTCAAAATTTCACCAAAGAGATTTTCTTACCAACTATTAAATCAAGGCCACGGTTAATTTAAAAATCCCCCATTGGTCAAATATTCAAGTGTTATTAACTGTAACTGCCAAGGATGTCCATGCCTAGAGTTATATACCCAAGCCGTGACATCCGTTGTCTACCCCAAGGGAATGGTCTGCTAGGAATACGTAATCTCTTTGCGTGTCACTCGCACATCCACCCTTATCCTAAAACCAAATACCGATAAAGATTCAAATAAGTCTCGTATTATCTTAGGGTTTCGCGACACAATTATGTAAAAGTTATCAAAAATCAAGGCTCGTCTTAAACTATCGGTATTAACCCTCAATCGTTAATTTGGTACATGCCATTAATCATTTTAGTTAGTTTTTATACTAATCACATATAATTACAAATTTCAATCACTATAAGTGTTATACCATTTCATTAAAATTCTCAACAGAAAATATTACACATATGGTATACAACAATCAATCAATGTACAAAATTACAATAAACAGTAAATTAAATCATGGTATGAAATGATAATTTTAGATACTTAAAAGTGAACCACAATCACACACATGCATGGACTACTAATTTACAAGATTTAATTAACTGGACCAGCACAATATTTATTTTTAGTCCTAATAAATAATTGAAGTAATAATCTTTGTTCTTTCTTAATCTGCCCAAAAAATTTAAGAACATACTTTTCGTAATTAAAATTATAAATAAATTATTTATACAATTCTAAAATTTATGGAATTACATGGAATATTCAGCAACATGTTATGGTCATTTTCTAGAAATAAATTCCTAAAAATAAGTTATAAATAATTTTGTAAAATTTCAAGAAATTCCATGACACAGATTCGTCACATTTTCTTAAAATAATTCCACACTTAAATTTATAAATCAATTCCATAATCTAAAAATTTATTATGAAGTTAGACTTCTCAAATTTCATTTTTTATTTATAAATTAAAAGATTTGGTTTAATATAGGATTTTTAATGATTTTTCAAACATGTAGTAAAATCTGTCTACAGTTTTAGATTTAATTAAAATTTTATACAAATTTGTACAGCACTAGAATAATTGTTACAAAAAATCCTGAATTAAGTAGACATCATTCTTAACAATTTTCTA